AGAATTTGTAGAATTTTCTGTTCTACTTGTCATTTGAAACTGAAACTTTCATAAGTAATGACAAAGCTAATTAGCAGTAAGAATTTTGTATAACGTTTTCTAGCATATTTCCTATAGAAATAGAGCCATTGAGATGTTTTCCTTTCCATGCACATTGTGATTATATGATGGTGCACTATTTATCTGTATTATAGGCAAATTATTTTTTCACTATAGACTTTACAGAAAATGTTAACTGCAGTTGTGTATCAAAATCATAAATTTAAATAAATTGTTTAATTTGTTAATTAATTGTTTTTATGCAGTCTTATTTTGTAAATCCCCTCAGGGTTCGTAGCGGTCCTTACAAGTCCTTATAAGTTCTTATATTTGAAAATAAAATATAAAGGCCCTTATAGGTGCTTATTTTTTTCTTAAAGCCTTTTTTTTTTTTAAAGCCTTTATTTTTTTTGTTTTTAGTGTTTTTTTTTGAGTTTTTTTTTTTAATGAACAGGCATTTTGCTCCATACCAAAGCCGAAACTAAATAAACTTTTCTTCCTTATATGCAACGCCAGATGGTGAATCATACTCCCGGAAATTGCTTTTCCCCCTTTCTCTGCATTAGCGTAACCTATGGTGCACGCGAGAGTACAGACAGGTGCATGTCATTCTATTGGTCAAAGAATTGCGAAAACGGTAGAAAATTCCGGTACATTCGGTATTGTTTTCCTCGCACCCAAATAATACACACATTTGAATTTCTATCAAGATTTTAATAATTTGCATTCTCGTTCTGCGTGGTTAGTTCATATTCGTGTTTATTATGATCGGTATGCTTATATTATAAGTATATGAATGAATATCTATAATAATATATTTTCAGTAACTGCTGAAGTATAGATAAACTTCCAAAAATGGGTGTGTTTTTACACAGATTAGATTTCTAAGGAATAATATTTGGAATGGCTTAAATAAAAGGAAAGTAATCTCGAATAGTGAAAACTAATAGTTTTTGAAATTTTTTTTTTTTTCTTTTTTCCACTATACATTAAATAGTACGGAGGTTGGGAGGTTTTCCCCTTTCTCCGCAAAATCTTTAATATTGAAGCAGTGAATTTTATTTTTTTATTTTATTTATTTTTTGTCACTGTCCAGTCTGGATTGAATTGGACTAAAACCCAAGCAACCCAACCAAGCAAATCTTGATTCTATTCCGGAAATTTAACACAGTATGTTGAAAATTAGAATCAAAAACACTCCCAGGTTAGTAAGTCTCTTCCTTTATTTAGTTCTTTATTCTCCGAATACCGACAGCTGTTGATTGCGTAATATCACATATGGAGGAATGCGCAATAACATTTGCGGTATTTTGCAGAGATAATTAATTTTGATGTTCAGTCTGAGATTTGTTTATGAACACTTAAAAGAGTTTTACTGTGCTTTCTAAGCAGAATATTTCTCAGTTCCGTTGGTCTATTTTTATATGATGCACATATCGAAATGTCAAAATCATTTATTTAGCCAAGAAATCTAAAAGAAAAGCTATAATCTTCCCCACTCCTCTTTTTCCAGTTACTGTCCAGAATATTCGGCAATTTCCGAGTATGCAGGTTAGTTAAGCTTTTACTGTTAAAGGGTGACTGCATGAAGCAATTTCCTGTCTTCTGATTTCAGAAATGTGCCTCTTTTTTACTTAAATTACTTTGCTTGGAATATATGTTAAGGGAAAACTGTTATGCAATGAAAATTTAGAAAATGTTCAGAATTTCGATTTAAGTTAAATTAATTAAATATTAATATGAGTGGAAAATAAATCATATTTATTATTAGGTGCCAAATGAATACAATTAATATGCCTTATTATTATTTATTTTCTAAATTTTGAACTGAAATTTCATCATTAAATCTTGTAATATAGTTTAGTTCTGCATAGTTTTTTTCCCCTCTCATTGTAAACTAATTCTGTAAATTGAACTGTCATTTAAAATTTAACAAAAAAAGTTAATTGTTTTCCATGGTTGAGGTAATGTTCATTCTCTTAATAAATATTGGCCCACAAGCGGCCGAGTGATAAAGTCGCTGAACACTGGTAGTTCGGTCCGAGGGTTTGAATCCCGCGAACAGGCTGGCTGCATGGGCGTTTTCGTGGTCTTCCCCATGTGTAACGTGTATACGAGCCAGTTTCGCTTAGAAAGTCCTCCACGAAGGCAGCCCTCCCCTTAGGCATATAGCCCTTGTGTGCTTTGCCATAATCACACACACACTTAATAAATATTGCACTGCTCATATTTTAAATTACAGGTCTAATTTTTCTATGGTTTCTAAGGTTATGCAGTTGTGTATAATGTAATTAGACAGGTGCTTATTTTTTCCTTAAAATGTGCTTGAAAAGTGCTAGGTGCTTAATTTTTTAACTAAAATGTGGCTACGAACCCTGTCCCCTTCTATCTAGAATTTTTTCCCATTTGTTGACAAATGACACAAAGTATGAAAATCATGAAGTTTTATGTACTATATATCTTTTAGTTAGTAATACAATTACCTATAACTATGTGTATTAAGAGTTCCTGGATCTTATGGACTATAAGAAGCTCCATTCAATGATATAGATTGCTTTGCTTGTAAAGTACGTGAAAGTAGTTAGCAACTGCAGAATTTTAACTACTGTACTTTAATTGAAAGTAAGTTCGTTTATGTTTTAGAAAAAGTCAGCTGATTGATAAAAGAATTAAAATAATGTAAACCTGTAGTTGTATGTCGTTCAACATTAAACAAATTTTATGCAAATTTGTCATAAGTTTTTCATGGGTAATCTTCAAAAATTGCGAATAGAAGAGAAAGATTAGCTTGGAATGGTGTAGTTTTTTGTGTTGACTTCTAGGTAAATAAATAATTAAGTAATCATTGTTTTGTTGTTCTCTGTTGTAAAAATAATTTTCTTGCAAATGAACCTGAAATATACTAACTGCATGTATATTTATGAAACATCTACATTTTAGTTAAATATTCTTGAGATATTTATTCTTAAGATATTTTACTTCTGTTAAAAATAGTGAATCTAGGGCATTTGTTCAGTCATACTTATGCAGTTATGAAAGTAGTTTAATTTTTAAAATAATAAACATTCAATTTTGCATTTCTTGTATTTAAGTGAGTTCTTTCAGGCTTGATTGTATAAACAGTGGAAAGATGCATGAAATTTGTAAGTGGTTTATTTATCCCAAATATTACTAAAAATATATTTCCTGAAGTATGAGAATGAAATAAATCCTTTTCTTCTAAATTTGAAAATTCCAAGTGTTGAAATTTCTGTGGTTGAAAAGATTATATTTAGATAGAAAAATAGGACTAATTTTGAACTCTCCATAATTGCATAAAATACATTCAAAGTGATAGAATTATATGAAATTGTTATTCTCGGTGGCATGCTAGAATTTTGTGCTTGATTTTTGTACATTTGAAAGCAAAAAAATGCTAAAAAAATATTGCTTTCAAGTATTTTTTGAAATTTACATTTGTGATTTCTTCCTGCATTGTTAGTCTTCAAGAACAGTGTCTATATGACCACAGGGACTTTTTCACTTTTTTGTCTCATAGTTTTGCATACAGTTTGTTTTTTCTGGCTGTTGTTATGCATCTACTTTTTTTCCTGTTTAGAGTTTGTGCAGTTTTTATGAATGTGACTGATTTTACTAGACTTAAGTATAAACAACCTTTGCTCATTAAAAGATGGAAACCTTTATATAAGTATGCATTATATGTGTAAATGTTGCAATTTCATGATACCTAATGATTTACATTCACTTAAAACATTGTACAATGTGTTGTTAGCATTTCAAGTAACATTTAAGTGTTTTAATTTAAATAATTTATGTAAAATGGTATGATACAAAACTCTTGTGAATTTACTAAAACTTTTCTTTTGCTATTTTTTCTCTCAGCTTTCTCATTGGGTTGCTGCAAATGATATGTTTGAATTCATTGTTGCCTGAAAAAGAAACAGAAAAAGATTGTAACATTTTAAATCAAAGTAATCACTTATAAGAGGCATACTGCTGTGGACAGCTACACAGTTTATTTGTGCCTCATCTGAAAAATCGCCGTGTTTGGAAATACTGGAGACTTAAGATATTCATTCGTAATTTTTTTTTTCTGACACAAAACAGTCCAAATGCTGGAGAAAATCATAATTTATTATTGTTAACGTTCAGAAGCTAGTAATATTACGTTAGAAACTTCTTATTCTAAATGGTGTATCTGGTACATAATTTTCAAGTCACTATGGAACTTATATATTGTCAAGCAACAAAATAACTCATTGGAACTCAGTTTTTGGTGCAGTTGCCACATATCTTCACATTATTGATAAGCTGTTTGACCCTGTAAAAAAAAGTATCGTGTATGGATGATGGAAAATCATCATATGATGAGCATTATTTTATATATATGTGTGGTTAATTTCAGCATTCTCTGCATTTAGTTCCTGACCGTTAAGCCAAATATCTGGGACTGTCAGATTAAGATCCATTTTTTATTAATAATTTTAACATGTAGAAGGAAACTTCCATGTTTTAATCTGCTCAAAACAGAAGACCATATTTTGAATCATTCTTTTGTTTTTGACCAATAAGCTTATGAGGTAAACATCCATGTATCAAGCTTTCTTACCTTATCTGGCTTTATTAGCTTATTATGGCCTGTATTCAGTGGGCCTCAGTCGAGCAAATATTTGGAGGTGGCCTCTACTTGTGATTTAAAATTTAGTTGGAACTATAAGTGAAATTTCTTATATTGGTAGTCAAAACATTGGAAGGCTTGTTACTCGAAATGGAGTTGAATGAGCATACAAAAATCATAGCTATTGCTTTCTTTTCAACAAACAGAATTCACTGTATTTTCTGCCATTTTGCAACAACCCAATATTTATTATTTTAACTAAGCTGATTAATAAATCTTATATTTCAGCTCATCAGTTGTAATGTTTGCTAGATGTTTAAGATTCTGTGCTTATTTTTTAAAGCCAGCTGTTGGATTTGGTGATGGAATAATACTTAAGGAATATTTCAAGGCATGTCTTTATCCCTTCTTAATACATTTATGTAGGCTTTGCATGTCTAAGCATGATTATCTACCTGTAATAAGAACTAAAAGCTCTTTGAAGGAATAATTCTAAAAGAAATTATGTTTTTGGGGAAAAAAAAGAAAAGAAAAAAGTTTATTATTATTTTGTCCTTTCATTTATTTTATCTTTCTTTCTCATGCCCCTCCTTATTTTTGATTGTGTCATTGCACTGTAGTCTTGTTGTGCATGTTACATCCTTTTTAGTTTAATGTAGAATTCTTTCATAAATATACCTTTAGCTAATACATAATCTTATTAAAGTTATTAAGCATAGCTGAAGCAAAGTGTGTCATTTTTTTTTTTCTTCTGCTTATTTTGAGAACATTCTTTAAGTAAAATTGTGTGTTATGCATTATTTTGATATAGAAACAGTACATAGTGGCAATTGTTATTGATATGACTACAGTATTTATTTGGCAGTTAATTCAGTTACTTTTTTGATCAGAGGAACTGTAAATAGCAAAATCAATAAAACTGACTGAAATTGTTTGAATTAAGAATTAATATCACTTTTTAATTTTGATCATAAATTACTGTTAAAAATAGAAAAGGGCATTTTTTTTAAGGCTATGGTCTTTTCATTATTTTAATAATACGTATGATATTTGTGATCATTAGCTAAATATCAGCATTTAAATAGGAGTAAGAAAAAATTCAGCTTTAGATGACCAATTCATTTCATGCAGCTTAAAGTATATGCATATTTAATATCGCTAAGATGTAACAGTTTAAATACAACTTGAGAAAATATTCCTAATGTAATTTTTGTATCATAGTTCATCCAGACCTTAATTATTTATTAGTAGCATAACTGAAGATGACCGTAAAAATAAATTTTTAAGAATTACTAACTTAAAATTCTTTTAGGCATAATATTATACATTATGCTTCACGAAGAAAGATTTATTTTTCTGTGTAGTCACCATGGTGTTCGAAACTTCGAACAAGATTGAAGTTTTGCAGTGTGTCTCTAATGAAATGTGTTGTTCTGGACTTTGAATTATTATATCTAATGAGCCTTTTCCAAGGACCGCTGAACAAAGCGAAGGAATATGTCTTTTTGTTTTTGTTAAATTGCTTGGTAGTTAAGATTTGTTTTTTTCAGTGCATAATCACTGGTGGTGAAGTATCTGTTTATTAGTGCAAAGCAGGATCAAAATATGCAGCATGGCGTTGATGCAAGTATGGTTCCTTAGAACCTGGAAATTTAAGGTTATGTTGTCTGTTAATAAGATGATGATTACTGTGTTTTGAGGTCAGAAAAATATATTGTTGATTAGTTTTATGTAAAGAGGATATTACCAATTAACACAGCTGTGTATGATAGATACTATAGTGAAGCGGTTCTCAACATTCAAATGTTCTAAAAAACATTCAAAAACTTTAGTACCACTGCAACATTTTACAATGATTATTTTTCAATTTCTCAATAGAAATATTAAAAATTGCACAACCTATTGGACATTCACATTAAATATGCACACATAAAAAATATTAGATTAAGCATCAGTTACCAGTTTAATTATCAACATTTAAGTTACAATACTTTAATTCTAAAATTTAGTACAAAATTTGGATAGAGATCAATTTCTTTATGTCTGATCTTATTTCACTTAGTTTTAACCATAAATTAGGGTCCACTTTTAATTTTGTTCTGTATTTATTTTTTAAATATAACACGGAAGAAAATCCTTGTTCACACAAATAGGTTTTGCAAAAAGGCTATAAAAATTTAATAGCTTTATTTGAAATGCCTTTAAATTCTTTTTTTTTTTTTTTTTTTCCCAGCTCAGCCAAATGGTAACAAGTGTGTTATTTTTAAAATCATCAGTTAGACTTCAATCACGGGAAATTTCTATCAATTACTCTCTTTCTTCCAGAGATAAAATTTAAGGTACATTTGAGCAAAATGTATTTCTAATCCAATTTTCTTTTTCATAATCCTCGGGAAAATACATGTTAAAATTATTTATCAATGAAAAGCAATGATTTTTAATGTCAGCTGCTAACTATTTGTTTATTTTCAAATTATTTTTGGTTAGGAAACTTTCTAAAAATGGTATAAAGCTTAAAATATTATTATCCAACTCTTTAATTATTAGCTTGAGTTTTTTTATCATTGCATTTATTTTATTTTACTGGTAAACAAATTAACACTTTGTCCTTGTAATCCTAAATTTAATATATTTAACTTTCCAAAAATTTCAACTAAATATGCTAAATGCACCCACCATAATTCACTAAAGAAACATTTTTGCAATTCAAGTTTTGAATCACTGAGGTAAATGTGAATTTCAGACTGAAGTTTAAAAAGGGGATTTAAAATTTCTCTGGATAACCACCTTACTTCGGAATATAACAAAAGGATTTCATATTACTGTCCATCTCCTGGCATAAAAATCATAAATATTCTTTAAATTAAAGCTCGACTTTTAATAAAATTAATAATTTTGACAGTTTGATTCAAAATGATTTTCAGGTTTTCGGAGATTGTTTTGGCTACTAAAGCTTCACGAGGAACGGAGCAGTGAGTAAATTTAGTTTCAGGTGCGACTTTGTTTATTTCAGAAATAACACCGAAATGTTTTCCTGTTAAAGCCCAACATTTGTCACTGCATACGACAATGCAGTTATTCCAAGAAATATCATTCTCAGGCATGAAATTATTAATTACTTTGAAAATTTCATTTGCAGTTGATTTGTGTTGAAGAGATTTACAAACAAATACTCTTCAGCAATTCATTTATCATCTTTGAAAGGTACTTGTATGTAAACTAATAATTGAACAAAATTCGTTATATCAGTACTTTCATCCAACTGCAATTTGAAATATTCACTGTGCTTTAGTTTTTGAAAACATGTCTCTTGTATGGAATTTACCATTTCATGGATTCGTCAACTTACTGCATCATTAGATAACGGAATATTATTAAGTTCATTAGCTGCTTTTTCATTCAATAATGTTAAAGCAATATCTTTAGCTGCTGGTAATATAAGGTTTTCTCTAATAATGTGGGCCTGCCCAGTCTTGGCAGTTCTTAGACTTACTTGGTAACTAGCTTCCAAAGCTTTTTCTCTTGAAGTAGCAAAACCTTTCATTATTTGTTTATTATTTGTGAATGCAAATCTCTTAAAATATTCTTCAGATCTTTCCTTTAAATTGGCATGTTTAGATACAAGATGTCTTCTGAGAAACGATGGTTTCATACTTTGGTTAGATAACAATTCACCGCAAATAGCACATTGAGGTTGAGAGTCTGTCCATTCCAAGTAAATCTAAATGATAAATAACTTTCTTTATATTTTCTGTAAACAATTTTTCTTTTCTCCTCAATATTCTTAGTGCTAGTAGATTGTCCTGGATCCATCACTTTTCCGCTTAGTCAATCCTAGCCATTTTTCTATTTTGAATATCTAGGTTCCCCCCCCCACCACCACCACCACCCACACAAATATTTAAATGCACATTATGTTATGAGTTCTTCAAAAACAAAGGATGATGTTCTCAAATCGCGTAGAAAAGTAAGGAATACAAAAGCAACAAGAAGACAAAATGCCTGCTGTTAGAGATAACAAATTGACATAAAAACATTATTCTAATTGAAAATAGAGCAGTATGAGCACCGAAAGCATGGCAAATAAAGTGTAGATATGCTAATAAATTGATCAACTCTAAGAGAATTAATGAGATACTGTAGTACAGTCTGAAATCTGGACTCGTTGGGATTTTGGCGATTCCGGAATTGGGATTTTTCTGGATGTTAGATCATCAGTTTAAATCTAGTAAGATGGCATGTAGAAATTATAAAATTAAAATATGAAATCATGATTTATGAAATAATGAAGTATTTATGATCTAAAGGGTATCAAAATTTACAAAAAGAAAAGCTTAATATTTATTTGTTTACCTTATTAAACATTTCTCTCAATGTAAGTTAAGTTGCTTCATTTTTTATGCTAATACTTTCTCTTTAATTCTGTAGACAGACATAATCTCTTGTTTAGTTACATTGTTGAAGTCCTGTAATTGCTGTTTCGAGAATTCCAACTAAATTGTCAATTGAAATTTTCTCGTTTTCAGTAACTTCTCTGTCACTTTCTTCACTATTCATAGCGGTGTTTTCAGGATCTAGAACCATACTACAGATTATGCCATTCATTAATTAATTGTTGATTGAGAAGCATTGTCATCACAATGAAAAACTTCTTTTATATCATCTTCATTTATTACTGCTTCTCCACATTTCTTTGCAAAATCTCTTAATTGGAAAATTTCATATTTGTTTTGGGATATCTGAAAACCTTTAAAATTAGTGGCTATCATCATCAAATTTAGCTATCCATCACTATACATATTTTGGCTATGCATCATGAGCTTGGCGACTAACAACAAGTTGTTCTGTTAAATTTTATCTTCCTTCTATCTTGCTTCTTTCTACTGAGACAAGCCTGAATTCTATGAGTTTAGGTATTTATTATACTTATGTCTATGTCTTGCACATGCTTAAGGCTTATCAGAGTTCTGAATAAATAAATTCTGCCACTCGGTGTGGCCATATGAGCCCCGACGCTGGTTGTGGGTTTATGTGAATAACAAATCGGTTATTCTTAATTCAGATATCCCTAAATGTAATCTTCGGGTCTATGAGTATCATTAACAAAATCTATTTATAGCACATGGAAAGAAATTTTTGATAAATTTTTCCTCATCAACATTTTTTAGTGCATTTAACTTAAATCTGTAATCATTGCCAACACAAAAGGTTACCATACTCCTTTATTATTCAATTACTAACATTAATTGTTTAGGTATTGCTACATGAGTCATTACTCAAGTTGTCATGTTTTGATAAACATGCGGTGATAAAAGGAAAGCATAATAAATAATGATTCACAAGGTTGGCGTCAGATCAACGATGTACCTATGTGGAATGTTTCAGTTTGAG